GGTGTAAAAAGAAATAATTTGGACGTGTTGCTATCAGCGTTTGCATGATATTCACGAAAACTGTCGAGGCATTGGACATTTGTTCGAAAAGTGCAACGCGATTTTTCTCCATTTTGCAGGCATCGACTACGGTCAGCCGTGGCGCCGAACATTCGGTGAGAACATCGTCTATACGGACTGGAAAAGAGACAATTACTATCACGCTGTACAACAACAGGTTTGCATGAGGATTACTGTGATCGTAAAATTTGTCGCAGGATATTTTCCCTTTTTAGCAGTCACTAAGACGTCAATTATCTCTACAAGGTTGGCGACGCGAAAACAGTAGGTCTGGAGTTTGATTGGGTCCATCTCGACAGTCACCGAAAGTTCTCCGATGCTTTACCTTATGCAAAATTCGTAGATGTCAGTCAACCGACCATGAAAATGCGCATGATTAAATCTCCCGAAGAAATTGAACTTATAAAGCAAGGAGCACGTATCGCTGATCTTGGAGGAGAGGCAGTTGTTAAGGCAATCAAGGAAGGTGCCGCTGAGCACGAGATTGCTTTGGCGTCAACAAACGCGATGGTCAAAGAGATCGCCGACACATATCCACATTCTGAAATACGAGATAGTATGTTTCAATTGTTCATCCTTTTTAAATTCCTTTATTCATTTTCTTTTTGTTTCTTGGGAGTCTTCAATTACAAGAAAAATGTGGAGCGCAGGGTTGCAGGGTTTTTTGGTTAATTTTATTGTCGCTCTTGTATTTCTCAGCATGGACTTGGTTCCAATCAGGAATTAATACCGATGGTGCTCATAATCCAGTTACCACGCGGCGATTGCGTAAGGGAGACATACTCAGTTTGAACTGCTTTCCTATGATAGCTGGGTAAGTTGTTGTTTAAAATTTTTTATGCAATCTGCTTAACGTCAGGTGTCTGCTATCTGGGACACTTGCGACAGAGGGCCAAGCGCAGTAATTACTCGAGTATAAATCATATAGCTTTGATTTAAAAGACTTTATTTACAACGGAAGACTCCGAGGTCCAATGCTTTGTGCGGTAATCTCGGAATCGACAGGTCTGGCTTCATTAGGTTCCAGTCCTTTCTCTATGGAGATGATAAACAGAAATTGTAAGAAAAACATATGAATATGTTTTTGAAAAACTTAATTTTTAGTTGAAAAGTTGTTGCAGCATCATCATTATCAGATCTCCGTTTTCTATCCCTTTATTCCGAGCTGCTGGACAAATATGGCAACCCGCAGCCATAATAATTTTCCACAATGCCTGAACAGGCATGGCAAGCCGGAGCATTAATCGACTACTGTGTTTCTTTCCAGTTAGCCCCTTTGCACGTCAATTCTCAGTTCTGTATCTTTATGTCTTCCCTAGATACTACATAGCACTTGAGCGTACACTCTTTTGTGATCACGTGCCATCAGACCGGCATATAGAACTCTGGGAAGTCAACTGCAAGGTTCATCGTCGGGGCCTGGAGCTCATAAAGCCAGGCGCGCGTTGCAGTGACATAGCTAACGAACTGAACGAGCTATACCTCGAACACGATTTGCTGAAATATCGTACGTTTGGATACGGTCATTCCTTCGGCGTTCTTTCTCATTATTACGGACGTGAAGCTGGGCTGGAAATCCGCGAAGATATCGAGACGGTGTTACATCCAAACATGGTGGTATCCATGGAACCAATGATTACAGTACCCGAGAGGGAGCCTGGTGCAGGTGGATATAGAGAACACGATATACTGGTTGTCAAGGAAACAGATAGCGAAAATATTACAAAGTTCCCATATGGACCAGAACACAATATCATTAAAAACTAATTCCTGGTAGTTAATTGCAATCTATAAGCCACAAGCCATAAGCCGCTGTTACTATGGCTTTTCTTATAGGATTTCTACTCTTGAATTTCTACACAGCGATATAGGACTCACAACCAATTTTACTAATGAGCTGACCGTAAAAAATGAGTCACCTCATAGGGACCGTAGAGACAGAGTTATTAAAACATATTTAATCATATTCTCCCTTTCATATATTTTATCTACATACTTCTTTAGGAGCACCCTCATATCTCCACTTCGTTCCTCCACATGGAACTTTAGATGTTTTTGAAGCTCTCGTGACTAGAAATTCTTGCAGAACAGAAAGTATCTTATAGCATCGTTCAGAAATGAAAAAATGCCGAGGGGGAAGTGTCAAAAGCCTGTCACTCGTCTCTTTTTCCACGATCCCCCTCCCCCTCTTAGGATCAGTGCAAGGCTGACTCGTCTCACATGAAAACGACTGAAACCACGTTGTGTTTGTCACACAGAGTAAGGCGAATACCAATATAATCACTGTATTTGCCCATTTCTTAATTTCTACCGAGAAAAGTAAATAGTCGAATAAATGGAGAACCCAGGCTCTTTTGATCGGAAAGGCCAAGGGATGGTCCGGATTATGTTTAGGAATAGACAGATTTCTTTTCACATCGGCGCGCACTATAAGCTTGAAAGGGTAAGTAAATTTTGGATACTTCAAGTTGAGCTGTAATAAGAGATCCTGTCGTTGGAAGAATTTTCGTTTCAAGCAAGAAGTTAAAAGATGCGATGCGATGGAGGAGTGGATCTTGACCCTCCTGACCTTTGTACTTGATCCGCCAAAGCAGAGAGGTAATGAATGAGTTGCCAGTAATCGGATCCTTGCGTTTGCGCAAAGAGTTCTGAGATCGCCACGGGGCAAACATCGTAACTCGCTATAAGGGAACGTATGGCCAGAGGTTGTTTTGACGTCCAAAAAAGCGATTTTTGCGAGAGATTATGGCTTTTTTGTCGCAGTTTTATCATACATGGATAAAGATATTTTAATACGAGGGTAGTGTAAGTTTTTGTTGGGATTACCGCGAAATATGTTATAAAAAACATTATAAAATAATTCAAATAGTAGGCGCGTTCTGATTGGCCATAAAACCATTTTACATGAGCGTATGTAAACACGGTTTTCGTTCCTCTTTCATTAGTTATTTTATGAAAGAAATGTAAAATGGTTTCCGTGTTTACATAGCCTGATGTAAACACGCAGGAGGTTGGGAGAACACTCGATAAGCTGGAAACCACTCCGCTTCGCGTCGTGGTTTCCTACGCTTATCTCGTGTTCTCCCAACCTCCCGCGTGTTTACAGCAGGCTATGTAAACACGGAAACAATTTTACATTTCTTCACCGAAAAACTTCTCTCCTTGCGTAAGGTCTATTGTGAAATCGTCATCACTTAATGGTCTCGAAATATTACAAAACTAGCCAGGAATCGCTAGGAAATAACTAATTTAAGTCTTTTCAGTTGTATTTATATATGAACTGCCTGTTTTCATGCTTGTTAACGTATTTAATGAACAAATTACGACGTTTGAAAATATACCTCTATTAAGGAGAGAAGTCGTTGTCCACGGAGATGGAAAATATTTTTACCGAGCTGTTGCTCTCTGAAAGGATGAAATAAGCGATGAAAAACACGAGGAAATCCCTCGCTCAAGTGATAGCTTGTTTGAGAAGAATCCAAAGGTCTTTGAGCTGCAACTTTTCTTCTCGAACTCCTTGAAGGATCTTGTCAAGAAAAGCAAGATCACGGGAACTCCGGCAGAAACTGTGGACATATCATCGGTTGTGCATCACTCCTTAAGGGACCAATTTGTATTACTCTTCGTCACAGAAGAAAAGGTTCAGCTTTGAGCCAACTATCAACACTGATTCGTTCACATTCATCACAACAAAGAAGCAGTATAGGTGATTCATCACTTTAATGTACCGGAATAATATTTAATTCTCAAGCAACTATTCTCGCGCTCTTTTGTTTTACCAAGCCACGAAAAACGCTGGAAGTACTGAGACTTAACACAAGTACAAAAATCTGGAACGGCTTGGTTGAGTTATTCCTAGGCGATTTATAGTTATTACACGATGTCAAATTCACAATAAACCTTACGCATGAAGACAAGTTAATCGGTAGATTTTACTACATATTACATGGTTTTTCAAACAAAAACTTACGCCTCCCTTGTATCAGCATTACCCAAATCAATTTCTGATAAAAGAGCGGCGAAAAAGCGAAAATCTCTCGCTAAAATCGTTTATCTGGACGTCGGAACAAACTTTCGCCATACATTTCCTTCTAGTGAGTTTCTTCCTCGTGGCGATCCCAGAAATCTGTGCGTAAACAATAGGATCCAATTGGCAACTCATTCATTGTTCATTCTTATCCAGGCATGTAACGCAACTTGGCTCTGGTACTATTTTGCGAACTCTCCATCTCTAATCCACGTTACCCAGTAATCAGGTTTGTAGCTCGGCCTAAGGTTAATTAATGTCCGTACATAAGTGCCTGATATACATCGAGATTGTAATGGTACCGTTGACATGCAATCTACTGCAGTTGACCGGCAGTTGAACGAAAGATTAATAATGTCTCCTGTAATATTATTTGTCTACCAGCGGACTCGTCTTCTTTTTTCAGTGTCCAAAGGTGACCTGAGGAGATGTAAAAAGCATGTTTTCTTTTAAATATTCGCTAAGAATCGATCTTAATGTGTGACAAATATCAGTAGAAGCCTTGTACAAAATTCATGAAAACTGTCTGTTTGAGTCGTTTGTAAAACCTGGCTGGCTAACACCGGACGGTTCTAAGGCCGTTTCTATTTTTGTTATTACCCAATTCCCCGATGTTTTTTGCTGGCGAACTGACTGAAAACTAAGCCCCACTTGGGATTCGTTATAAAGTTAAGGATTTCTCAAAAATACACAGCTCACACTTTTTATTCAAACCTTTGCCTGAATTAGCATTTAGCGTTGCGAAACCAAGAGATTTCTATGTCACGCTATGACCTGCTGATGAATAGTGGCATACACAGTATAAACCAGTGACATATTTCGGACCGAACACTTTGAACATGAAATGTAGACTACGATTTTTCCAACTTTTCAGCCTGAACACTGTGAAGATGGCTTGCTAGCGAGCTTTCGTCATTTTCGAGTGCTGAACGAGGCACGAAAGAGAAGACGGAAGGAGAACGAGCCGCGAGGGATTGGGGCAGCGATGCTAGCTGTTGTTTTAAAGGACGGATTGTCTACAGGGTAGTCTGGGTCAGCTGGTTAGCGTTACTCAGGATTAAGATAAAAGTTAAATTTTGTCTTTGATTTACGGTTTGTGGGGTTTCATCTGTTAGTTTTCAGTCGAAAGGAAAGAGGAGAAAAACCTTTCCCAGTGATATAACTGAAACCCATTCAAAATTTACTCTAACCCCGTGTGAGTTTATGGACTTCAAATTAAGTCTACTTATTTTAATCTAAACATAATTTTGTTGCGATTAAAGCCATCGTGTGGTTGCTTTACAGATTCGTTAGCTAGGATGAAAACACTGCGCAAACTCAAGAACCTATTAACACCAGTTTTATTTCGCGGGAAACACGATTACTTCCCGAGAACCCTCGAGCTTCACAATGGCGGAAAGGTTAGCTAAATTATCAATTAAGAGCGGCCGGTCACCCCTCAAAAAGCTCTCTGTCTTTTAAAAAGGCACAGGTCTGAGAATGAAGCCCTGACCTCAGAATAATACACACTAATAACCTGATAACGGGAGGACTATCCCGAGGTGAAGGGTGCGTGGACCCCTCAAACTTAATCTGAGTAGAAGAAGATTGCAGGGTGCGAAGAAAACGTATTGTGCTCGGGTACCACAATTGCGACGAATAAGGCTCCGTAATATTCTCGTGATCTTCCATCACTGGCGGTCAATTTTCTATAGTCTCCTTTTTATACTCTGTTGTTCCCCCCCTGAAATCTATGTGATTCCCCCCAAAGTCCTCATCCCCCCCCTCCCCCCTCCGCGATAATTAATTACTGCGTGGTTTGTGACGCTAAAAGAAGGAATTTCCGACGATTGACACGAAAGGTACAAAAAAACGACCCTAGAAAACGCCGTGAACTAATAAAATTGACCTTGAAACTGTGGACTACTTTTACGTAGTATTCAATCTATTTTATAGCGCAAAAGTGTTTTTTCCTATTCGTAACGGTAATTCTGAAAACTCTCTTTCCTTCCTTCGTCTTTCTATCTTACTTTCTCGGTTTATTTCTCAATGAGTCGATCGCCATTAAAAAATCTTACATTCCTCCATTCATTTATTTCTACATGATTCACGTTCTTTTATGTGTATGTAAAATCTATTTTCAGACCCAACCACTATTTTCTTCTGAAGAAATGAACCGGCGTCTGAACAGTATCCGTTCTTACATGGAGAAAAATGGCCTTGACGCATGCGTGTTCACTTCTTACTACAACATTTATTACTTCAGCGAGTTTCTATACTGTTCCATGGGACGGCAATACGCCTTGGTCATTACTGACGAAAAAGCATTGACAATTACGCCATGTAAGAACTTGTCAAATGTCCTTGTTCAATTAACAACTTTACTGTTAAAGTAAAGAGTTTTTTTTTTCAAGTAGAATTTTTTTGTTGAGACTGATGGGTCTTGTCTGTTTACAGCTGTAGATTATGGGTTTCCATGGAGACGAGGAACTTGCGATAACATTAGCTACACCAACTGGCAAAAGGAAAATTTTTACTACGCCATGCAACAACAGGTATCGAAAAGAAGATAAAATTCGTTTAATAACACGAATAATCAGATGTTTGACTTTGTGTTGTCTTCCACCTGTAATACAGCGAAACCACTCATATAAAACTAGGAATAATCTCTCAAGTAAAATTAATTCCATTTCATCTCCCGAAATCAATGGTTGCACTTTGATTTCAAATGTCCTCCACGCATTGCAGATTATCTTTCCTCTTAGGACTGTTTGGAAAAATAGCTTTTTTTTTATCTCGTTTGACCCCTCTACTTGGGAATCTGCAGCTTTAAAGCGAAAATTTGCGAGTTGCCTTTCCAAGATCATTAGTTAGACTACTTCTTGATTTTAGATGCCTGCATAGGAGTATGTATATATTTTCTTATTTATCGCCTCTTTGTAAAACTATCAGTTACAGTCTGCAAAGACGGTGGGTGTAGAGTTTCCAGATATGGGAGCCTCGCTGCAAAGTTTCTCAGAGGCCTTACCGCATGCCAAATTTGTCGACGTAGCAGATGCAGCCATGGAAATTCGACGAGTGAAGTCTCCAGAGGAGGTCGAAATAGTCCGTCAAGGCTCTCGAATAGCAGAGCTTGGGGCGTATGCAGGAATCAAGACCTTACACGAGGGTGTCCCAGAGTATGAAGTGGTGATCGCTTCAAATAGTGCGATGATGCGGGAGGTCGCTGTAACATTTCCACAAATCGATATCCGAGATAGTAAGTTATCGGAATTCTTGTTTGATCTTTAACAGAACATTTTTAATTACGCTTTTTTTGAACTTTATTGATGGGCCCTTCCCAAAAAATCTAACTTAACTCCCAAAAAATAACCCCAACACTCAAGGATGTTACTGGGGTGCATACCAAAGTTCTTTTACTCAAGTGAGAGATATCTTCGTGAAATTTTTACTCCTGTTTTTACTTCTGAGATAAGTACCCCTCACTTGAGGAGTTCCCTGTATAACCCATCATGGAGTTATCTACTCCCCTTTCATTACACTTTACTCATTGTGCGTACATTCTTTTCTATCTAGCGTGGTCTTGGCTGCAGTCAGGAATAAACACAGACGGTGCACACAACTTTCCTACAAGTCGACGAGTTCAAAAAGGCGATATTCTGAGTTTGAACTGCTTTCCAATGATAGCAGGGTAAGTCTATCTATTCAGAAAGTAGATGTCTTCTCTTACATTCATAAAGGTTCTTATACAAATGATGACTAAATCGGATCGGCGGGAGGCTCCGCTTTGATACGCAAAACATTCAGCCAGGTCGAACGTAGTATGCTAGTAATATCTCGTCAGAGCCTGCGATCCTTGGTACATAACGCTGTCCAAAAGCATTGCGACTTCCCAGAACGTGAATATAAGTATGCAGGATGTTTGTCACATGGATCGAGTCAATACGTAAGCTAGCAAGAGCCTCTTACAGCTCAGTGTATCCGAGCCAACAAGTGGCATGGATTGATACTGGGATCAACACTCCTGCTAGGAGCGCTCGAGTGTTTTTTTTCCGAGTGTTTTTTTTTGCCTGATTTTCTAACGTTATTTATTTTGCTGGTATTTTTGTTTTGTAATAGAAACTATGCTGCTCTAGAGCGGACGTTATTCTTTGATCACGTGCCATCAGATCGACATATGGAACTCTGGGAGATCAATAACAAGGTTCACCGTAGAGGCCTGGAACTAGTCAAACCAGGCATGCGCTGCGGTGACGTTGCACGGGAACTGAATGAAATTTATATGGAACACGACATTCTGCAATACCGAGTCATTGGCTACGGACACTCCACGGGAGTTCTTTCTCACTACTATGGAAGAGACTGGGGCTTAGAGTTCCTCGAGCACGTGGACACAGTTCTGGAGCCTGGGATGATCATTACCATGGAACCAATGATTGTAGTTCCCGAAGGAAAACCTGGAGCTGGCGGGTACAGAGAGCACGATACTTTGATTATTACGGAGACTGGGACCGAGAACACAACAGCATCGTTTCCTATTGGTCCTGAACAAATGATTGTCAAAAACTAAGCATCCTATCCCCAAAGACAGAGTTTATAACTTTCTGTAAGTCTCCTCTATGACTGATCCAAGAATTTTGACGGGAAAAGCTATTTTTGTAGGAATAGCTGATAAGGTCCTAGGGTTACAGAAAAACTGAGAAAAAAAAGATGATTTATTGCTGAATAATCAATCTTCCTGTCGATAAATTTCCGACGAAGAAGCCCCTTCAAGAAAATCCTTTCGACGCCCATCCAGAGGCGGTGCACATTTGCCATAATAAGCTTAATTGACTGATTGATCAAAATGCCGTTGCTCTTTGTATGAAAAAGCATCCACATTCAGCCGTTTTTAATGTTAGTTAAGGGGATGTGCATGTCTGTTCCACAAGTTAGTTTATTTCACCATGGTATTCAAATGCCTACATGGGTTAGCTCCGGACTATTCAACTTCGAAATTCTCTTAACGCAATAAAGTTACAACCTAAGGGACTCCGAGAAAAAACTTATGTTCTATTACCAAGCACAAAGTATTTCAAAAATAGTTTTCGTTACAGAGGTGCCACATTGCGGAAGTTAAGCCATACCAGGGGGGTTGTGACAAAGAATTTCAACATTAGGCTTCAGAACGTTTTATTCCCATTTTTAACAAACGTTGAATCAATTTGTGTTATTGGTGAGCGAGAGATTAAAGTTTACAATGTCTTGTCGTAAGACATCTCCATTCCATGAGCCACATGAGTCGTATTTATTTTACATCTCAGCCATCAAATCTTCCGCATCAGGAGGTAATGTGTCTGATGATCGCTGACGAAGGCGAGATCGACTTGAAGTCAAACTGCAAGATAAAAAGATGTAACTACTACGTGCGCGTCTGAAGCTGTTTGTGTTGTCAAAACAGTAAGAAGTGTGGGTGAAAGGAAGAGCGACACCAGTGAAAGCTTTGCGCTTCATAAACCGCGTGGACTAGGAGTAGTCCATCTCTTTCCTTAACGCGAGTCTAAAAAAAACCAGCGACAAAAGTTGATGTTAGTGCGCCGCGTAGAACTCTGGGAGTGAGGCTCACGGGAAGTTGGGACTACTTTTCATGCGCATGACTCCAAGAGTTCTGCGCGACGCGCTAACATCATTTTTTCTACAATTATTAATTGTTTTACTGTTATTATTATTATTTTTTTTTGACTCGTGCGACAGATTTAAGCCGAAAAGGAGGGGCGGCTTGTGGTTTACAAACCGCGACAGAATTAGCTGAAATTTAGCAGACATTTAACATTCACGTATCCAGTTTGGTGGAAATTTAAAATAACGAAATTCAAAACGTATGCCTCTTGTTTCCCATCGTCCTTCAAAGACTAACATCTCAACTTGTCTTAATGTTAATCACCCCCACCTCTCCCCGGAGGAACTGCTAGGCGTCTTCCTGACGGAGGGTACCTTGGGAAGTATTAGCTTTGCTGCAGGGGATTCTGTAGGTTTCCTTCTACGGCGCCTGAAAAAAACCAACAAACAAACAAAAGAAAACAGAATTTAGATTAACCCAAGAGTGCTTCCCAATTGAGTGTCCTCAAACCATAACCATAGTAATCATAACTGCCAATAAGAACCAGGAGAAAAATCACAAAAGAAGGACACTTAAATTGCCTGAAACGTGAGAGAACGCCAGCAAAAAATCCGTAGGTTATTTTTGGTACGAAGAACGACTTTTAGCCCTTTACACCCTAACAACAATATGTATTTCCTCCATACTGTTCTTTATACATTTCCTATAGTGCTGATGAGCAGAAATTGTCAAAAAAATAGGTTCTTCAATTGGTGATCATTTCCTTTATACTCGTAAACTTAATGTTTGATTCAGGGATGAGATTTTAAGGAGAAATTAGACGCTTTTAACTCTACGAAGGAAAATGGTTAAACAAAACCAATAGAAAGACATCTTGAATTCCTTTCGACACTCAATATAACCTCCCTATATTACCAATACTTGTCACCAGTCTTTTCAGTATTTCTTTCTCCATCCTTTAGCTTCCAATAACAATATACCTACTTTTTGTTTTTCTTTTCCAAATATTACCTCTTCACAGTTGGTACAACTCCTTCATCTTCATCATCTGGTAACAAAGCTTGACTTAATGGTGTAGACAAAGACATTGGTTTCTTTTTCCTTCCTCTCACAGGTTCAGAGATAGGTGACTACAGGGAAAAAAAATTCACATCCAATGTGCCACTTAACCCTTTAACTCCCATGAGTGACCAAGACAGAATTTCTCCTTACAATATCAATACAGTATCAACCAGATAAGTGTTGAGAATAATGAAAATCTCAATTTGGGGATGATTAGTTGATCTAATACTAAATTCTCTGAACTAACATTATAAGAACTGTATGGTTGACAGTAAGGAGAATTGCAAATTTGATCCAGGAGTTAAAGGGTTAAGCAACCTTTTACCCAAACTGTAATTGCTGCTTATGGTGATGAATGTCAAACAATAATAAAAAGTGAAGTGTCAACTAGAGTAAGTAACAAGAACTGTAAAACCTGCAGTCAAGTGTTAACCATTTAACTCCCAGATGTTATGAACATGAAACTTCTCCCTATAACACCCATACATTATTCAGCAAAAAGGTAATGAGAATATTCGAGCTTATCAGGTAGAAGCGGCTATCTTGATCTAGCACCACGTTCTCGTAACTAATTTACATGGAAATGTGTAGCAGCTAGAGGGGAGAATTAACAATCAGATCTTGGGAGTTAAAGGGTTAAAGACAAAATAAAATGATCATGAGATGCTTTCAAAGGCTGTTTTTGCAAGAAAAGCTGCTTAAGACTGCCACTAACTCAAGTGACTGACCATCATATTATAACTATATCATTATGTATTTATTAATATATTGTTTTAATTACAGATGGCATGATTACTGGAGCAAAGCCTTTCCCATCAACATCCTTTGCTAAGGGAAGAACCAACTCAAATCAAGATTTAAGATTTAGAGTCAATTTGTACTTAATTTAAAATGAAAATAGAACAAAAAAGTAACCCTTCATGTAAAATCTTTAGCTTACATCCTCTGTATCTGTTTTTTCAATGTCTGTGTCATCACCAGTATCCTCTTGCCTTTGAAAATAACACATGAAAAGAGAGCCTCTTTTTTAATTAAATTATCTTAAGTGACAAATATCACCTCATTTCTTTCATTAAAAATTAAGCCATCATTATTAATTAAAAGCAATTTTCATCTGAGTGCCCAAAGTAATATAGGATTGCCTGGGTTTTGCTTTATTTCACAACATGATCTGTGCAGAAAACTCAATAGACATGCCACTTTCTCAACCAATCAGATACAAAACTAAAACCATTTTTGACTAGTTCACTGGCATTTTCCTGAACATTGGACATTTGGCTTGTTTTGTTTTTTTGGATCACCTTCTTGTGATATTTCTTTCCAATTGACCATTAGTATTACTTTGGATTTGGTTTTATGAAGCAAAATCAAAATGCATTCTCACAGTCAGTCTATTACTAAAGTAACTGCTTTATACCTGATGGCTGTACCTTTAGATTTTCCTTTATTTCTGTTGGCTAAGTCTAGTGATTCATTATTACCTGGGGAAAAGTATAATAATTATATTATGAGAAAAACTGCGACATATCTTGAAAATTTGAAGGTTAATATAATTAAAAACAAAGAAATTAGAGGCAAATCTAATTTGCAATGAAATTGAGTACCAGTATTTCTGTTAACAGTGAAAAATTGAAGGTTCAACTTTGGATGTCTACTAAAGATTTCTGGTGTGCTGGTCAACTTTCCAAACTTATATGCCTGTAAGGCAAAGTTTAGATTTGTCTTGTGAGAGAAATTTGCTGGTAGGCTAAGCTGGTGTGACACTTTGGAAACTCATTACGATTTACGTTATCAACTCAGTTCCTTTAGAAAATTACCCCTAATAAGCTACTGTGAAGTTAACATTTAAGAACTGCAGGCAAGAGAGCTGACCAAGCATAAATTATTCAATGTCACATTTTTTTTGGAAAAGTTCATTTTCCAATCAAGGAAAGTCATGTAATAGATTTATAAGAAATAACTATCATAAATTATTATTTATTTCATTATGTACACTTTACCTTGTACTGGCTGTGAAGAAGAAGCCTCTTTTACTGCAGTATTTGCATGGATATAAACAAATAAAGAATTGTTATCATTTTACAAAAATCAGAATTCCATCTACAGTTAACACAAGGTGAACAAACCTTGCTCCTTCAATTGCCTTATCTTGCTCTTCTTGTCATTTAGCACTGCTGCAAACTGCAATTACAATAAGTAATAATAATAATAAATAAAAAATGATTAACAATGACAAATCTTAACTTTCAAATGGCCAAATACCAGTAAATATCAAAGCAACCCTTTTAAGTCTAGAAGTGCCTAAAAATAATTATTCTAATAATATGAATACCTTTTCAAACACTTGCTAAAATCATCACAAAAAATTCGTGATAGACAGAGACTCTGAGATCTTTGGAGAGGAAGAGCTAAAAACATGCTCAAGAACTGGAACGACTCTCCTGTTTACTGATAATAAATTAAAGTAAGTCACAGCCTTAATAACCTTTTCAAATAAATCTTTCTCCATTTCTTCTTTGGCAGTGACACATTTCTCAAGAAGCTGAAAAAATATAATGTTAAGTTAATCAAAGTGATTAAATTAATAAATAATTATACAGTTATTGTATAGAAGTAGAGGTTCAATCAATCATTAAAAAAAACTATCCAGTCAGTCAATCAATCAGTCAATCGCTTTAGATTTAACCGTGTACATCCTAAGATTAGAATTCATATTCTCTACACTGTCACCTCTCTACATTTCTTATGGTACCAACAAGGAAAATCAAAAGCTGCTTAAATAAATGATTATCTGCTTTGTTCTTATGACCTTTACACTTGATTCATGAGTGATACTCTTGAATGCCAGTAGAAATTAGAAGTCAGTCACTCTTAAGGGTTAAAGTGTTAAATAAGACTGCTAACCTTCAGGGTATCTTTTCTCTCCGAAGATAATCTGGTATTGTCAGATCTCAAAGATGACATTTCTTGCTAAAAGATAATAAACATACATGTATGAACACATGAACAAGTTGCCAATAAAATCTACTGGAAAAAATAGCTACCAATCTGCTATTTTATATCTTTCATTTTCACAAGTACAATTATTGCAATGGGGATTACATTAATTAGAGTTCTTGAAAAAGAGACCTAAATTATGACAGTTTATGCCATAGCTTAGCGGTTGGTAAGCTGGAATTTAAATGGCTTGCATAAGTCTATATTCATTAGCCCTTGCCTGATCTTTATGTTGTGTTCTTGCACAACACACTTTAGTCAGAGAGCGTTTCCACACCCAGGTGTATAATGGGCACTGCAACTTATCAGTATACAGTTAGACAAATTACAGTGACAGGGGGGGAGAGGGGGTGGCTCTACTTTGTAACTTAAATGTGCTAGTGAAACTTAACCCTTTAACTCCCATAAGTAACCAAGACAGAATTTCTCATTACAGTATTAATACAATATCAACCAGATAAGTGATGAGAACAAAGAAAAATATCAATTTGGAAATAATAAGTTGACTCAATACTAAATTCTCTGAACTAACATAATAATTGTATGGTTGACAGTAAGGAGAATTACAAATTTGATCTGAGAGTTAAAGGGTTAATGGACTCTAGAGGATGAAGTATCATGCAGTCCAAGTCTATGAAAACAATTGCCATCTAGTGCCATTCTATATCTGTTAATTTTATATTCAGGTAACAAAGAGAGCATTAGTCATTCATTTCAGTTTCATTTAAATGTAAATTACACATCAGTTACAATTACCTTTAACTGTGTCATCTGGTTTACAGCCAGATCAAACATGTTCTTGATTACTTGAACACTGTCACTAACTTTTGGCAAAGTCAGAGAACCCAGTTGAAACTGGAATGAGACAGAATAATGTATGTATATTAATTTCAAAAAATACATATCTTAAGTCAACAATGAAGTGTCATATACATGTATGTGTAAATAAAATTCAATCTTATTTATGCAGTTATTAAATAATTATATCTTTAGTTTATCTAGGCCTTAATATATCCCCTGTGAACACCTTGAATATACATTAATCATTACTGTTTATGAACAATACTAAGTCTGTAGGACTTTTGAACTTTTCACTACCTTAACACCATCACCAATATGCATCTTCCAAGAGAACTAAAAAGCAAAAAAATCATTAGAAGATATCTCATTATCTGTAGTTTCCCTCAAGTCAAGTTGCTGACAATCCTGATAAACCATAACTGGTTCTGTTTTCCCTAACATTGCATTCGTACCCAGCATACTTTTCCCTGCCTTTCTTCGTGTTATTTGAATGGAAAGCTAAAATTTTTTTAATTGGATAAAAGACCCTTTAAGGTAAAGTATTTGGACTTGAGTATTGAGAAATCAGAATCTATAGTAGGTTGTAGATAACATCTAAATTTACTGCTTCTCCTTCTGGCACACATATCAATAATATATTTTGAAGATCTTACATGCTTAGTTTGTAAATCACATCACGCTGTTTTAGAACCTCCGTTATCTTTTTCCAGTGAGAGTTTCAAGCCATCTTGAACTTTTAAAAAAGCTGGGCTTACAAAAATTAAATATATATTAACTTATGTTGCTGTTTCTCTTCTAAAATAAAACAAAAATCTGGCTTGTGGGAACAAAGCTTTTTTCAGCATCTCACCACATCAAGTCTGTATCAATCACTTACCGTTTCTATTCTTATCGAAATTCAGGAAATGGAAATAGCTTAATCAACTACTCAGTTTTATTCCATCTTAGTCATTTGTAACAGATATCTAAAGATACCCAAATGTAATTAATCAAAAATGCCTCAAAAGGTTTTATCCAACCTGTAACTTTGTCTCTTTAGGCTTGGCTTGAAAGACAAAATTATCCTGACTTGTTGTCTGGCCTGTCAGTGCTCTGCTTGTTTGATCAGCAAATTCAGTAACACTCATATCAGCAGTCTTTGCCATAGATTCAACTGTCAATGAATCAACTTGAAAAAATAAACAACATAAGTAAATCCTTAAAAGTGACTAGCATCTAATTTCTCCTCACAGCATCTCCCCTGAATTGCACATTAAGTTCATGATAACAATAGAAATAATCACCAACTAAAGATGCTGTTGATGTTAAAAATGATCTCAGTCATCACCTGAGATTCAGAGCCATATTTTCAATTTTATCTAAAGCTGCCATCAGTCACTGTCACATTGAATATCTCAAAGTAGAAAAAAACAAAAGCACAACAACCAAAAAAAAAAGGAATTGAAATCATATTATGATAAATGAGGAAAAGAGCACTGGAACCTTCTGTAATACAGCATATGTTTCCAAAGGGGTTTTCAGCATGGTTTATGGCAGAAAAACTTCACTTCCTAGACTTTTAAGTGAATACAATTAACAGCAGCCAACATGATTGGCTGTGAAGGCAAAGTGGATACTACAACTGTCACAAACACAGACAGGGGGTATCATGGTCCATGGGGTGGGATTTTTTTTTAGACCTTGTTTTCAACTACTAGTTTAGTAGTGTTCATAGCTGCGAGGATCGCTTCTATATTCGTTTCTTCAACCGCAGTGGACATATATGATTTTCATATATTTACAGCCATTATTCAGTTAAACTTGTTGTCATTTTCCTAATTAGACCTTACCTGAATCAGGTTGTCTGAACTAATTACAAAAGGAACCAGTAAATTGACTACCAAAAATGCAAGCGTATTGCCAATATTTCCAGATTCTAAACAAGATACATGGCTGAATAAAGAGGAATCCTTCATCAAGATGATAATTGGTTCCATATTTTCAGACTATTTACCTGTTTCGCGCCAAACGTGATCGCCATTGCAAACGGTGAGGTCGAATCCATCTTTGCCTTGGTCAAATAATTCTACAAGAAGATAATATTGAACATCTTCAGCTGTGATTCTGGTAAAATTCTGCGGCATCTCTGAGATCCTCACAAATCCAAATTGTGAAGATCACCCAGGAAAACTACTATATCTTTAATGGCATAGCAAACGCGCATAGACCAGGGGAGGACTGGAGAACAGTCAACAAACCATGACATTTGACAGGTTTGACATTTGTCAATCAATAATGATTCGATTGGTTAAAAAATGTCACGAAAGGAGCATTCAATATGATTTTGTAAAACATATTTTTTAAATAAATATTTTCCCACAGCTGTTTTGAATTTAAATTGGTTGAAAACTTAAAGATGATAAGTATTAAATATAAGGTTTACTTTAAAACTCTCAAATCTTTGACGCATGATTACCCAAATTATAAGTTTCGAAAGGTCACGCAATGATAACCTTTCCCCTGTCCTATGTGGCAGCCATTGTTTTGCTTTGATAAAGCGAGGAAGCGTTCTTTCGCTGTCTCGATAACGTGTCAACAAGCTGCTCGCATAAACTTCTTCAAAGGAAGTGATGAATGATGGCGAATCTTTTTGCAATCGCTCTTACCGGAGACAAACGAGTATTTCAGCCCGGCGATACAATTTCTGGCGTGTTGCTTCTGAATACAAACAAAGAAATTAATCTGAGAGGTGTTCGTGTTGAGCTGCATGGTGTAGGGCATGTGCGTATTCGTTCAGGTAAAGTCACCTATGCCAGAAGAGAAAACTATCTGAGCTTTCAGTCAATTCTTCTAGGAAGAGGTAAGATTTTCTCCGTGTTATGAGGGACTACTTTCAAAATTTAACATTTTAAATTAGCAACATACTAGTTAGACTTACGACGAACACAAATCAGTCACTCGTCTTTCAAAATATTCATTGTTGTAACACTACCCTGAGATCTGAATATCTTTTTTTTAACAACTTTTTGCCGGTAAGTATGAATGTAGCCCTCAGTGTGAAAGGGTTTCGAACAGTGAAAGAAAACCCAGCCTTTGCAAGCTTTCGCGCTCGAGCCTAATTTCATTTTCGTATCGTTAAGTAGCTGCTAATTTGAATTCGGATGAGAAAATGCGGGAGTAGTCCAAGTTCTGTTGTTTGTTTAATATTTTTTTCCATTAACTTAACGGTTTCCTTCCCCACAAACGATCCTCCTGAAGAAGTGAATTGCTAAAAAGGGATTTTCGTCTCAAGAAACACGAAACAAGACAAGCATTTTTTCGTTCCAAAGTCCAATTAATTGAGTCATTTTCAGCGTTACAGAAAATTTTAATTTAAATTAAAGAAAATGAAAAACTGTTTGATAATGTAGATGCGTTACCCCACAAATTGATGTTTCGACCGCGATAGTGTGCCAACTAGATTGTTTATGTCAGCTTTCCCTGTTTGATCAGTATGAGGCTTAGTGCCAGACCCCTCACAGACCCCTTGGCGGCCTCGCACTTTCTCGCGTGCTCTGGACAAAATCGCTCTTACTCGGTTTTTCTGACGCTTCTCAATAAACACCTTTGTGAGAGAAAACTGATTAAATTTTCTCGTTTGAAGATGCAAAACGAAGATTATTTTTTCTTTGAAGCACTAGAATCCCAAATTCAAATATTAAAACAACAGATGCGTTTTCTTCTTAAAAAAATTACTGTCTCATTAAAGGCCCATTTTCAAGCAGCCATAACAGTTAATCAAAGAGATAAGTAGCAGGTAGATCAAGACTCCGAAAATTCTCAATTTGATTTTTCATGAGAATGGCAATAGTGACACACTAAACATTCAAAATAGATTTCAGTGTCTCCATTCCCTTTTTCATCATTAGACATAACTAAAAAAGTGGAAAGAGGTAGAATCACGATCAGCTCAGTTTTCTCAACCTTTTGATAAGGATGTAGCTATTCGATAACTTTGCTTGCTTGGAAGGTCGTTCTTCAAGAGCTAGATGAAATTAAATTATCTTTCTGGACCCATCAGCGCTTGGTCGATCGAATCTCGAAAGAGAAAGGAAAAAAACCCCGACAGTTAATACTGGCGAATTGGCGATCAATCAAACCAATAAAAGCGCGTTACAATTTCTTACATCAACTCCTCGGCAGCGTTTAACATATTCTGAAAATATCTGTATTTATTAATTTGACCTTAATCTTATTCATTTCGATCCAAACTAACGTTTAATTTATTTTCTTTATAGCACCTTTCCAAAACGGAAGTGACGTAAAGCTTCAACCTGGAAACTACAATTTCCCTTTTCAATTCCCACTTCCTGTGTCCGCATTACCAACATCATTTGAAGGTACCTACGGTAGTGTACGATATTGGTTAGACGCTGTGGTGGAGCGACCGTGGAGAATTGACCTCAATACCCGCACACCGCTAGTTATTGTCGAGCGCGTGCAGACTAGGAATCCAGAATTCCTGGTAAGTACTGGCTCAGGCCCAAGAGGGAACTCTTCTAGATGTGGTTCGAGGGGGGAGCCACCGCAACTTATCTTTGCGCATCGAAAACAAACCCAAATTAGAATCCCTTACATTTTCGTTTCCCCTAGTGCATGAGGCATTGTATAACGGACTGTCTTTAGTCCTGAACATGATGTATGATCACATTGCTGATTCTTTCTTTGCCCTATGACTCTTTGGTTCTATTGAATAACGGCATATGCTGCACGTTTTCCTAAGAAGAAATGTTTGATTTTATAATTGATTTCACGAAGGAAGAAAGAAATCAAAATTGAAAGTCCTAGGGTAATCATGTCGGCGATCGCTCACCACGTTTTGGATACTCTCTGATCATTTGTTGTCGACAGGAACCAAGAGTGAAACAAGAAGATCGTATGTTGGGATGGCCATGTTGCCCTTCAGGTCAGCTGCACACCAAAGCCCGCATAGAACGTCTTGCTTATTGCCCTGGTCAGGAGGTCAAGATATCTGGGCATGTTAATAATGAAAGCAGCAAAACAGTTATCGGTTTTGAAGCGCAACTGGTACAGACAGTGCTATACAAGGCACCGGAAGGTAAGGATTAACTTTTACACCAATAGAAGCGGCAAGCATCTAATTTCTCCTCACAGTGTCGCCTCTAATTCAAAGTGACATTAAGCTCATGAAAAAGAAGCAAATGATCGCCACGAAAGGAGCTCTCGATTTTGCAACCAATTCTCTTTTGAGTACCAAGGGAAATGAATAGGGAGGAGTATGGAAAATTGCATACTGATCTTAGGATGTTAGAGGTCAGGGAATGAAACATTGAAAAATTTGAAGGAGGGATTAAGGGGCAGGGAAGTTTCTACTCCCAATCTACGGGCCTATCTGACCTCACCAGGTATGTAACGTGTTTTGTTCTACGTTCATAAAATTTTTTTTTAAAATCCTTTAACTCCCAATGTCTTATTGCTGATTCTCCACACTGTCAACCATTCATCCCTAAGCCCTCGTAGAAATTAAGTTCATTTATCGGGAAAATGATGATGATGCTCGGATATTTTTATGGTGGCTTCATTTTTGAAGATACCTTGATTAAGTTTTGTCTGTTTGCCTTTTTGCTTAGCTACAACACGTAAAGTAACAGAGAAGCTTTACATCCTAAAGAAAGAACAAGAACTAGCACCTGGAGATCAAACCAATGTCGAGCTTGATTCTTTCGTCATTCCACCTGTACAACCAACGACTAAAGGATTCGGATGTATTGACATTTCTTACGCAATCAGGGTAAGTGCTTGTCTCACAGGGTATAGTTGAAGGGGTATTTTTCATGGCCAGAGTTTTACAGATATTGTTCCTTTGCGTTTTAAGGCTCCTCCTTGGAACTTTTTTCTCCCGATGAGTCGGTATCACCATCAGTAACCTTTGCCATTGACAGCATTGTGGGTACTTTGAGCGGCACAGTCGCGAAAACGCGCGGTGAAGCCGTGGGAAGCTAGGGACATGAAATAGTTTCTCCCCCCCCCCCCCCCCCCCCGTTTTCCGTCCCAGGCGTCTCTTACCAATCTTCTAGCTCCATCGCTCATTACTAAGGCTTTAAAGTAAACCCAGGACCGCCAGCTACCTAGGAAAATTAGTAAGGCAGCAATGGCGCTTTTTAGCTCGAGTAGACACAATGTAAGTCAGCTGAGCACTAATGCGTGCAACTTCCAGCCCCTTTTCCGACCACTTTGATTCAGTTGACGTAAAACTGCCGCGGGAAGAAAAACTCATGTTCCATGCTGCTTTTCTGTTTACTTCTCACTTTAATTGTTCTCCTTCCTTTTATGAAGGTAAACTATCCGACACGGTTACACCTGATAAATGGTTCTCTCCAATGTCAATTCAACACTTTTTGATTGTTAATTCTATGTAGTTTAAAGTACGCGTGAAGAAGGCCTTCAACACCGAAATAATCTTCCCAATTGTGATAACTACAGTACCTCCTAGCGCCGAGCCCTCCGTTGATCCAGTCTTGAGAGAGCACATCTACATAGCCCTTGCCAATTACCTTGCGTCACGTGCTGCTGCAGAACTAGACAGCGATGCACAAGAAGCGACTGAGGGAGAAAGGAACACTGTTTGGGATGGATCACCTCCTCCTGAAGCCAATCGTAAGTACAGTGGGAGTTTTCGTTTTATTTGAAACTGTTTATTTAAGAAGTAGAATCCATATTTCGCTTTGCCTCGTTGTATATCGCAGATGATGTCAAAATGGTAAGGAAATATGAGTGATGACGTCCTTTTGATATTTTGACGGCTACGGCGATGTAAACTTGACAAACACGCAGTTGAATTGTTTATTTTTTATACAGACGCGATTAAAACATCGATTACTATTATTACGACTTTAAGATTATTCTTGTAATAGTTATAATCAATTGTTTTCACTTTTGTCATTTTCATCATTTTTACTATTATTATCGCTATCAATATTATGTGATGGGCACTTATCACTCTTTGTGTAATGTTCGGCATAATTGTTGGATAAACTCAAACAAAACGTAGTTCAAACCTGGCTTTAATGATAGGAACTCAGGATTGCGCAGGTCTTGCAAGTAGGATTGTTTCGCACACAAAGTTGCCATAGCGGGCTTTATTTTGTCACATATTATCATCTCGAACTCTGCTCGTTGTTTCTGTGTTTAGGTTCGCCAGACGTCAGAAGCAACGAGAGACATGGGTCTGACATTGGCCAGCCACATCAGTATTACAGGATATAATGGCGTAAAACGCCCTTCAAAATAACAACAAAACCAAACCAGTAGACGAAAGGGGATCTAATCTATGTATATTTTGCAGCTTTTTGGAGTGAATACTTTTTTTTCATTGAATTAAGACCTTAAAGAGGAAGTGATGCGAAAAAAGTTGTGTAGAGAGGATTTTATTAATGTTTGTACCATCGTGAGTCACTATACCGCCTTAAGCTTTAAGCATGTTTGACGTCTTTTCCATGATCAGTCAGAGCATGCGCAACAAAAAGTTGTGGTTTATTTGCTAAAGCTATTTTAAAATCTTTTCACAGAAGACAAGTGAATGCCCTAAACATTAGTTTCATTTTCATTTATATGTGTTAGAAAGTGCAGTGAGAACAAATAATTTGACAGGATCATGCATTTACAACTTTGAATAATGAACTACAAATGACATTAATAATTTTTTATTACTGATTAATTGGACAGACCACCAATGCAAAAGATGCAATTTTCCATATGTATGCCCAAAAAAGTGCATAAACCAAAAGTGTATGCATAAACTTGTTATGTAAATAAGCTCTCAGATGTTGACGGTGGGAATCTAGGACTCGTGGGCAGGAACTCCATTGCGGCTTGTTGGGGAATTCAAGCGTAGAACAGATGTAATACTGGGGGAAGAACATCTTTACGGGCCCAAGGATTTATCTGACAATGCCGGTCCACCAGTAGTAATACTTAGATGTTTACAGTCTTCCGTGTATAGCTTGCACCCAAGGACCACGGTCTGTCCTGATCCTTGCTGGACCCCACAAGCCCTTACGGCGGTGGCCATTTCCAATCCAATTTTCAAGAAACGAGTGGGGATTCTCCAGTTTCTTCCTTGCTGCCATAGGACGCACCTAGAATGGTGCTAACAGTCGCCAGATATTCAGCTCTGGGATGAGGAACCAACCCGTGAAGACGACCTTGTCGCTTTCGTTTGCATCTGATTTCACGTTCACTTTGAGCTGATATGTATGGCCTACCTTCCAGTCATAGGTGAGATAACTCCAGCCACCCGTTCCTTCGCCTCCAAAGCGTTTAACTGTGACGCCTTCCCCATGGGTAAGCACTTTGACCGAGCCGTCCAGCGATACATTTTGGATTGTCGTCTGTCAAGGTCTCGTCCTATATGGAGAATAAGACCCACCTAGGAGAACAATCCTAAATGCTCATGTAACCTCTGGTGAAACCATTTGTCATTAAAAAACTGCTACCTGCTGTCTCTTTAACGATCACTTTGTCTTAAAACCAGGCAAGTCCTTCCCGTTGTACCTCTGGATTGACAGCCACTGACCACGTAATATGAAGCTGAATGGTATAGTTATTTAGGCTTTTAAATAAGCTACGACCCATTTATGGACAGATGTGAATTGACTATATGATCTCACTGATGTGGTCATAGTAGGAGCCTATCGTGTGCCCCAGGAAATGTGAATTTCCTAAAAATTGTAGATTAAACAAGATACCAAAAAAAAGCGTGATCTGTTAACAAGCATGTTCTGCTAAACTAATTTATGTAATTATTATCTGGAAAACATAATTAAAAAACATGGAAAAAAAACGAGGGACGTTTTCAAACTAACCGTAATAGGACAGACCAAGAGTGAAAAAAGGCCCTAGGTTACTACTCGAACTACCGAGTATTCGATCTTCATCGATCTTCATCGATCTCAATGCTTTCCTCCTTTTTATAAAATGGACGGAATAGTGTTCCACGTTCACGCAAAGAAGAACGTAAAGGCTATGCCTTCAAGTGGTAGTGCATACGACTACGCAACACAATTTATGGTTGCATTGATTGATTCTCGGGGCGGGGGAGAGGACGGGAGGGTTATTACACCGTCCTTTTCCTTCAGAGTAACCGCTACTGTAAAGCAATATTTCCTTGAACATTTTTAAGTTCTGAATCGATGACGAACAAGAATTACGAAAAGTATCAACTAGAGAACACTAATTGATCAAAGACAAATTTCTTGGTGTTTACATTGTAAGAAATTAATTACGATGACAGAGACGAAATCATAAATTGTCAATATAAAATAAAAATGGGTCAGGTATGTGGACATAAGACATTTTCTCTGCGTAAGGAACACTAATTTGAACAAGTTCTCTAACTTTCCCGTTTTTCTTATAGATAATTGCTGCGAGCGAGCAGCAACACTAACGGGCTTTCTGTGGCGCGTAGGTCTTGGCAAGAGTTTACAGCCAGTTTTGATTTCGATTTCTGGTCGGGCTACCGAAATATGTTTGTATGTACGGTACATTGGTCAGCGGTAGCGAACCAATCATGCGTAACATTGACAGAATGGACCGCATGCTTTGTAGTATGCTGAAGTGGGAATTGCCTTTGTAATGGTGAATTTTGTCTAGTTTTGCGGCGAAAGTACCTTGAATTAACCTCACAGCACTTCACTTTCTATTAGAAACTGCTAGTTTTATATGCATGACTGCAAACAAATTCGAAAAAGTGCATTGATTGCATCCTAGACTTCCTGTTTTTCTGAGAAATGATTTCTCACGCATGACGAAATTTTCGAGCCCACGAGGATCAATAATTTCACGATTGATTCAAATAATTAAAGTAATTCATTATTTATTTCATTATATAAATAGATTCTAGTAATCTCTTGTCTGAGGGAATCATTAAATGATTACTTATTGCATCAGTCAACCTTTTTCGCTAAGAATAAACATTATGTAATCTTCTCCTATACGATCAATCCATTCTTAAATGATGGATAAAGGTTTTTAAAAATTGAGTGAAAAATGTACACATAAGTGATCAATCAAGCTAAGACAATCCCTCACAGATGAGAAAACAAATTGGACAAAGTTAATTGATTGCATCATAAAGTTCCTGTATTTCTGAGAAGTCATTTCACACGCATGACTCAATTTTTCAACCTGTGGGAACGAATAAATAATTTGACTTTCATATCATGGACAGCCTCTAGTATTCTCTGACTGAGAGAATCATGTGGTGATTACTGATTCGAAAAACAAAAGCTTCACAATAGGTTCGTCTGTCACTTTACAGCCTTCAGAAATATTTATGTAACACCTAAAAGCTATTCGAAGATGCGACTGAACTTTGCGGATTTACGGCTAAAAGCTTGAAAGATAAATAGAATCACTCCAAGCATGCACACTTGTTATCAGTCAACCGTTAAGATTAAGATACGCAACTAGATGTACTTTGGAAATGAATACTTCTCTGACAGGGAACTACATAGCAACTAGATGTCAACGCATTTGGCAAAAAATTATCAACACTGGATCAATGATAGACGTCTTTTTAGAGACTCTAATGTCAACAGATGTAAAGAAAAAAAACACGCTTTGTGCACCATTAATTTTAAAAATGAAATTTTATTCCATTTACTACTTGGTGCTTGTTAAAACTCAGTTACACTCTGACAAGGTATCTGGTATTTCAAAATGATATCTGACTCTTACATATCATTTCGCTTTGCGAAAGTCATCCGTCATGGACTATCTATACCAGTGTATTGCGATTAAATATATTCCAAAGTGCTACAACTTTCCTAGATGTATATCCAAATAAAAGAACTTAACACAAGATCACGATACTTCTGATCTATATCCAAAAAGTAAAATGATTACATTAGGGCAATCAAAATTCCTCGATCTTCGCTTAACTCTTAGAACTAAATCATTTGACTTGTTTTCATCCATTTGTTAATCTGAGAACCCGTGCGTTGCTTTTTGCCAACAGATTAGAGTGGATCTGCTACCGCATATCAGCGAATACTTGAACGGCTATAAGATTGAATAGGTAGAAATATTAGACAAAACTAATCTTATCATAAAAAGAAATGGACTAAAGCAATGGTCAAGTTTTACGATGAGCACCATGCTCACCATGGTGAATAGCCACGACTACTTTCTCGGAAACGATCAAACCAGGTTTCCCTCTTTTCATTTGGACAGAGATCTCGGTAGAACTTCGATCCAGTTACTTCAATGAAGCCAACAAGGCACTTGGAAACAGCTATATTGTCGAAGCCTGAAAAGTCGAATAAATGTTATTGAATAGCTACAGATAGGAAACACAAATTTGAAATGTAACAGGAGTAACTGAAACCGATTAGGTTCATATGTCAGTTTAATGGCGACTACTCCTTCCCACCTGGATGGACTTAGAGAACTGGAACTTTGATATATTTTGAACTGGAACTTGTGCTCTCTTCCATTTACGTATGAAATGCATTGGGATCAATATCAGTATCTGGGCAACTGCCCACCTACCCCTCCCCTAACTCAACAACAGTCAATTGATAACAAGTTAGGGTTAATGTTGGGTTAGGGGAGGGGTAGGTGGGCAGTTGCTCAGATACTGATATTGATTCATGCATTGTACTTAAGTGGAGAAGGTTATTCAATTTAGATGTGTTTCGTAATTTGTTGAAGAATGAAATCATAGCGGGGTATGCTTTTCCATAACAGTTTCCTTTCGCTAACAAATATTCAGGCAATGTGAAAGTCCACTAACATCTCTATTTTAGTTCTCTAATTATGCTAGAACAACTAAATATTGTTCAACTGTTTTTTTCGACTTCATTGTAATTTGATCATGAGCTACAAAAGATGAGCCCCTATTCAAAATGGAAGGAAATGATTATTGACTTAAATCAGCACGGGTATCCTTATGAATTGCATCATTAACCTGTTTTAATTTTATATTCTAGCGATAGATGCGGACGTTGAAGTGGAAACGAAAGGAAAAGAATCGCTGGCTAGGGCTTATTTCTTGTGATAAAAAGTAAACCTTAGGTACTCCGCAATGAGCTTATAACTAATTTCTCTATAAGTTGTTTAGCTCAGAGACAATTGTTGACTTACCATGTGTTTTGCCGTCGAGGACCAAACATACGTGACATCCGAAATAGTTCCCATTTCCCTTAGGGTTGGTGAGATCCTTTCCAGTTGCGTATAACATCATTTTCTTTTGAACATTAAACCAAGCTTGAGGGTTAGTTGGTTTATGTGACTCCTCGACTGCAAATCCAACTCTTGGTTCTGATGGGTGAAAAAGAATGTCGTTGCCCCCCTCGGTAACGTCCTTGGCTACTTTATCAGCGATGATTTTGTTGATTTCGTCAACCTCATCCTTCCTTTTACTAGTTGGATATTTCTTAATGGCTTCATCAGAATGGGACCAGTTTTTGAGCGTGTTTTTTTCTCCATCCAAGATACCGAGGTATTTCTCGTGATTTACACAAAGATGAGCATGATAGTTATACGTCGAATTGTACCAGTATCCACAGTGCTGGGACAAAACAGCCCTTGATTCCCCGAGACCGTGTTTAGTGGCCATCAGCAGGGCTAAGTTGATTACCTTTTTTTTTTGATCATCGCTTAGGTCTTCGTACACTGTTTTAGGCGAATCGTCTAACGCAATAATAAAATGAGGTCTGGCTTTGTAACAGTCAAAATTCACCCTGAATTTACCGTCTCTCAGCAGACTAAAGTCATAGACAGACGTTTTAACCTCCATCTTTTGGTTGATCTCTGGACGAACTCTTCTTCTCGATGAATACCTTTCAGTTGATGCAAATCGTTCAAGGAATGAAGAGTAAAAACGTAGTCGTCTATTTTATAGTCTGTCTCAGCGTGTTGTGTTCAGACCTTGCGTCATCCCCTTGCATCAACCAATAAAGAGAATGTCTTTCTTCTGCAGTCATGGACATCTGCATATGTCATACTTAATGAGTTGGGTGGACGTTTTCACGGAAAAACTCCTTAAATTAAACGAAATTTTGATAAATGGAAACAATGAGATTAGAGGAGAAAAGGAAATATGCACTTCCTGTAGCTACCAAATTAGCGCGCGTGAGACGTTTCATCGCGCGAAAAAAAAAAACACTTCGTCGTAAACTAGGGTTTCTAACAAGCGAGAATGGCGGCATAAAAACGCCATGTAACAAACAAGTAATAAGGATCTCTGATATAGGAGTTAAGATATAGGTGTTACAACTGCAGCTGATCAGCGATCATAATCGTGTATAGAGAGAGAATTCTTCGGGTACTGATAACTCCTGGCGGTTTTTAAGATGAAACTACTGCTTAAAGTAAAAAAAATTCTTTAAATAGAAAAATGCTTTTAAACCACGGATTATTATGCTTTTTACTGCAAAGTGAAAAATCTATAAACCCTTCGGAATTGTTATAGGTTATATAAGCAATGTAATATTTGATGAACGTTAGCATCGAGAGATATGTTTGAATTGCGTTTGGCACAAAAAAGGAAAAGGAAGAGGGATAATTATCACCACATTTGTACCGTGAAAGTATTGCAATAACTCCAGGGTTTGATCTAGAAATTGGCCAGGGGACCCGGTGGGCCTCAATCTTTCACTTAACAGGGGCCTTTTCCAAGAGATGGAGCCCTAAAACTATACTCAGAAGGAAAGCGAAGAAGAGAAATGCAGTTCAGTGAGACAGTAACATAATTCTATACTCCAGAGAGGGTATTTGTGCTCCAATCGATGTTTGGACGTAAGTTTCACTCGACATTTTGTTTGTTAAAATGCGGAAATTCCACAAAAACGCGCTCTAGAATAAAATGTGAACTCTAATATGTCTTCAGGATGTCATTAGTGGTTTCAGTGTGGTAATTACTGTTTAAGTAACTTCTCTTGGTTCCGCCAGTTTGCCTTCACATTGCGTCAATGATAGTCTTCGTCTTTTGTGTCTTTCTTTTTGTCTCGTTTTGTTTTGCTTTTCTAGAAAAGCTTATTCCGCGACACGGAACATTCCACCAGCTCATTGAGTGTGACGGTATAATTTTGCTTCAGTAGTCGTTTGTTAGTTCGATTATTCGGGGGAAGGGGCGTAATCGAGTAAATACAGTAATTTTATATAGGCTTTTACTTCATTATCTACTCTTTAGGAAGCCGACCGTGAAAATCGTTCTTTTAAACAGGATTAGAGGAATAGTCTAACAAATTTACACAAAGTGGAACTTTAAAAATTTGCTTTCAAGTGGTAGTCAATTCGTGCACATAATTAAGTTAAGGGAAATGGAGGATTGACTGACAATTGCTCTCCCGGTTGAGGAAAACAGATCCGACAAAGTGCATTAATTGCATCATAATGTTTCTGTATTTCTGAGAAATGATTTCTCCCGCATGACGAAATTTTCGAACCCCCGAGAATCAATAATTTGACCTTCATTATGCAAATAGATTCTAGTATTCTCTTGACTAAGAGAATCATGACATGATCACTTCTTGCATCAGCCAACCTTTTTCGCCAAGAGTAACCATTATGTAATCTTTTCCTATACAATCAATCCATTCCTAAATGATGGATAAGGGCTTTTAAAAATTGAGTGAAAAATGTGTACATGTGATCAATTAAGCTAAGACAATTCCTCACAGATGAAGAAAACAAATTTGACAAAGTTAATTGATTGCACCATAAAGTTCCTGTGTTTCTGAGAAGTCATTTCACACGCATGACCCAATTTTTCAACCCGTGGGAACGAATAAATAATTTGACCTTCATGACATAGGTAGCTTCTAGTATTCTCCTGACTGAGAGAATCATGTAGTGTTTACTGATTCGAAAAACAAAAGTTTCACAATGGGTTTGTCCGTCACTTCACAGCCCTCAGAAATCAGTCCTGTAAAATCTGGATGTAGGAATGAACGCAACAAGAAAGCTATTTGTAAATGCGCTGAACTTTGTGGATTTACGGCTAAAAGCTCAAGAGGAGTGATTCAATATTTTATTTTAGCTTTTAGCCGTCAATCCACAAAGTTTAGCGCATTTACAAATAGCTTTCATTTCACACCCAATTAATTAATGAATTATGTGCTCATGAGTATTGACCACCATTTGAAAGCATAGCTATTAAGTACCTCTTTGTGTAAACGTATTGGACTATTCCGTTAATTCATGGTAAAGGAGAATGATAATACGTGTACATGTTTTCCTCTAATGAGGAACTTAAAAGATATGCTTTTAAGTGGTGGTCAATATGAGAATCGCTGGCTAGGGCTTATTTCTTGCGATAAAAAGTAAACCTTAGGTACTTCGCAATAAGCTTATAACTAATTTCTCCTTAAGTTGTTTAGCTCAGAGACAATTGTTGACTTACCATGTGTTTTGCCGTCAAGGACCAAACATAAGTGACATCCGTGATAGTCTTTGTCTTTGTGTCTTATCTCGTTCTGCTTTGCTTTCCTAGAAGAGCTTTTTCCGCGACACGAAACGTTCCACCGGTTCACTGAGTGTGACAGCATAATTTTGCTTCAGTAGTTGTTTCTTAGTTCTCGGTCCGTGAAAACTCCGGTTATTTTAAGGAAGATTTTTTTTCACTTGCACGTCCGCCCTACCCATGCAGCGTGATGTTCTAAAATTGCCTTGATTTTTATTCCTTGACTCAAGAAAAGGTTATTTCAGAGACAGATTAACGTTCCATAATATATTAGCTCTCTACTAATTAGATGTAAAACTGACCCCAATCACCAGTAACAGAAGCGTTCTTTTTCTTTACATGTTTTATGGCGGCGTGATGAAGTCGCTCGTAAGCTTGGCTTTGCTAGCAGTAGTTATTCTTTGTTGTGTCCACAGTGGAGTTGCTGGTAAAGACTGAGGAAAATGTTTGAATAAAAGAGAAACTAGATCCTCACGAGATATTTGTGATGGTAGCAGGTCGATGTTGATTGCCTACAGTAAACTGGGAAGAACTGCTAGGGGGAAAGAGAAATTTCAGTCACTTGCCTTCATTTCTGTCCTATGTCTTCGCGTTTAAAACATTTAGGATACTTCGAAATAATAAAAGGAACAATATGTAACCTTTCTCCAAAATCCCTCAAAGCTTGAAAGCCCCCCAAAGCTTTAATTTCCTTAAAAAGATAAATTCGATCAGCGATGAGTAATAGATAGTAACCTATATTTTTTAAGGATGGAGAAATAGATGAATATAGGAAACAGATTAAGAGTAGTAAATAAAGAAATGAAAGTAACAGATTAGACGCTATTCAAGTAAAATAACGGTAGGGTTGTGGCGGGAAAGCGGGAAATAGTGTATCCCACATCCAGCAGAAGGGGAAAGGAGTCGTAAACGAAGAACAGTAAAATAAACTATATAGAGCTCCAATTTTAGGCTTCATTCAATCTATATAAAAATTATCTATCAATAACAACGTTGAGTCGCGCTGTATATAAGGTGACTTTAACTGAAAGCTCGATCAAATTAAACTTTCTTCTTTTTCTTCTCTCAGGGAACATGAACAACTCGCAGCGCGCGCAAATAAGACGTAGACTGTTTGTCGCGTCATCTTTTAACGAACTAAGCGCATTGAACGAAACCGTTGTGTTTTGGAGTTTCCGCGTCCAGCGCCACGTTAAAGATGTAGTGCTTAGATATTTAGCACATTTCCTACGGGAAAATGTCCTCAGCTAAAGACGATAAAGTTCAAGTTACTTTCAGAGGAGTTTCCCTCGCCAATGAGGATTTTAATTTTGTACCACAACCTTACTTTGCCGTAAATCCTCGCACGACTTCTTATCGTTTGTGGGAAGCCGTTAGCGCGATTTGCATTTTCTTGACTTGTCTGTTAGTCCCTTATCAAGCAAGCTTCGAATCTCGAGATGCAACTCTTTGGGTTTTCGTTTATATCTTTGATGTGCTGTTTCTCGCCGATGTGTTGCTTAAATTTCGGGTTGGATACTTCAACAAAGGAACTCTTGTCACAGACAAATCATCGGTTAGTCGACGCTATCTTCGGACCAAATTCGTACCGGACTTACTGACGCTAATTCCCTTGGATCTGCTCGTGTTTGGAGTTCAGACACATCTTGAATGGCATCAGTTTCTGACTTTGGTGAGGCTCAACCGGATTTTAAGGGTTTACAGGCTGGCGTCGTTTTTTGGTAGGTCTTTTCGTATTTTACCAAAATGATGATTAATGGACTGTAAATTTTTGAATCTGGTTGTTTCGCAAACGAATAATTCCTCTCAAACACTGTGGTGGCTAAAACCTAAGACAAATTTATATCAGCATGATCAGTGTTACAATTTCAGTTGCATTTATGAAATGTCGCGTGTTTCAGTCCTAAATATTTCAAAAGAGCGAGTTAGAACAGACCGATGTTGTTGAACACGACGAATTTCTCCAGGTTACTATAAACAACCAAAATATCCAAATTAGAATAATGATTTATTGGACATCCATAGTGTAGCTGGTAAAAGAAAATTTTTTTGTTTATGTGGCGAATGCGCACACCCCATTCGACGACTTTCGGCTCTAAGGTCGGTCGCCTCCAGCCCCTTCACCTATAGAATACTTAGTTTATCTCAAGTTCATGCATAACTTTTACTAATGAGATCAACTTCCTCACCCTTTTTACTTATTAGTTTAATTTTTCTTTTTTTTTTTTCTTACATTTTTAGGGGCAAGAGAAAATGAGTTGGGAACAAACACTGCACTGATCCGGGCATTAAAATATGCTGCCATTGGTACGATTACGATCCACGTGATGTCC